TATGTATATAAAGAATATACATTACAGAAATCTTTAGCTTACTAATGGGTTTATTGTGTTCAAAAGGTCAAAGGTCAAAGGTCAAGGTCCTCTGACTAAAAAGGATGAAAGTAGGTTTTTTTTTTTTTTTTTTTTTTTTTTTTTTCAGGTTTGAATTATATTAATGGTAAATAATAAAAGGCTAAGGGAGAAGAGTCGAAAAGCACTTCAATTTTCGTTGAACAACGAAAAAAAGGTCTAGTTATTATTATTATTATTCTTTTTCTTAACACTTTTTTCGTTCAGCGTTTAAGGAGTACCTTTGAAAATAGGTATTTTGTTTTATAACCACTAGAAAGCAAACCTAAATGTCTCGCGTATGTAATGTTTTGAACTTCCGGTTTACTCACTTCCGGTTTCTACTAAAGAAAAACTGAAATTTCTAAAGAAGCTACAATCTTTCTCATTTTCAAAGACTAGACTCTCAAATTCAAGATATAAATTTTAGACACAAATACCTACAAAAAAGTTAGCGACGGTGATTTTCGGCCACTGATACTTTCTGAGATATAAGACTTCAAACATTCAAAAAGGGGGGATGAAATTTTTAAAAGTCACAATTAAGGTTTCAAAATTATTTTGAGCATGGAAATATGTTAAGACTAATAAGTAAAACATATAGTGTAAGTTTCATATCGATCCAAGAAGAACTTCCGGTTTTAGGGGTCTTAGAAAATTGTCTATGGGAGTTTCTATGTTAAATTGAAATCAGTCGTACCACGTTTTCTCTTAAAATAATCAAGATATTCTTGTGAGATTTTAAGTGTAGAATGACCTAGATACGGTACCGACCTCATTAGGTCATGAAAAGGTAATCCGGGAAAGTAAGGGATTTCTAGGGGCCAACATTGAAAACATACTTTTTCCTATAACTTTTTTATTTCTCAATGAATTTTTAAACAGTTTTCTATTCTGGGTTCAGATCAAAGAGAGCAATCTAAAAATTATGGTCCGTGGGGACACTTTTTGACCCCTTATAGGAGTTACAGAGGACTGAAATAATGTAATTTTTATTTATTTAAAAAATAATGGAGTAAGAGTTATCTCCCTTTGAACATCAGTTAACAGGCTTACATACTCTTTAGGTTTCAAGTTTGGTATACATATGACAAGTACTTCCGGTTTTATGAATCTCTAAATTTGTCTATGGGAGTTCTCATGTTAAATGGAAAATTGCACATTTCACGATATCTCTTAAAGTAATCAAGATATTCTTGTGAAAATTTAGAGATATAATGACTGTGATATTGTTCCAACCTCATTAGGCTTTGAAAGTATATTTCAGAAAAATAAGGGATTTCTAGGGTCCAAAGTTGAAAACTGACCTTTGCCCATAACTATTTTAATTCTTAATGAATTTTTGAACAGTTTTCTATTCTGGGTTTAGCTTGAAGAGTCCAATCTAAAAATTATGGTCCGTAGGGTCACTTTTTGACCCCTTATAGGAGCTACGGAGGACAGAAATAGTGAAATTTTTATTGATTTCAAATATGATGAAGTAAGAGTTATTTCCCTTTGCACATTTGTTGGCGGGCTAACATACTTTTTAGGTTTCAAGTTTGGTATGCATATTACAAGTACTTCCGGTTTTATGAATCTCTGAATTTGTCTATGGGAGTTCCCATGTTAAATGGAAAAATGCACATTTCACGATATCTCCTAAACTAAATAATATATCCTAGTGAAAATTGAGTGTTATAATGACTTTCATAATGTTTCAAACCAATAAGGGTCTGAAAATAAAATTCTGAAAAATAAGGGATTTCAAGGGGCTAATATTGAAAACTGATTTTCCCATGTAACTTTTTTATTTCTTAATGAATTTTTGAACAGTTTTCGATTCCGAGTTCAGCATAAAGGGTACAGTTTAAAAAGTATGGTCCGTGGGGTCACTTTTTGACCCCTTATAGGTGTTTTAGAGACCTGAAATATAGCAACTTTTAGTAATTTTCAAAATTAACATTGTAAGAGTAACCCCCCTTTGCAGAGCTCTAGTGAAAATTACATACTCTTTAGGTTTCCATTTTTAAAAGCTCTAGAAGCCTTGATCAGGTTTGATTTTTTTTTTTTTTTTTTTTTTTTTTTTTTTTTTTTGATGTTTTTCATTTTGTAAGAGTTATCGCTCTTTAAGGTCCATGTGATTTTAAGCGTCGAAAAGCCCTCCGTTTTTGTTGAACGACAAAAAAGGTCTAGTTCTTTGTTATTATTGTAACTATATGTCACTTTATTGTTTTCATATTCATCTTTATTACATTTCACTTTGAACTTTTTTCATTCTTCATTTTGTCCTTACTTCTATGTTGCTTTATTCTTGTAAATTCGTTCTCCTTTCTTTTAAATTGATACAGTTTCTTTAATAAATAATTATGATCATCTCTATAACAAATGTAAATTCAGTCACGCAAACCATGAAGCGCATTCAACGAAGACGAATACAAGTAGTGTGAATTTAATGCGGCATTTTAACGCTAGGTGGCAGGGTGTTCGCTGCGAGTGTTGGTAAAATCAGGTACGCAAACCCGGGCCGAGGTTATTCGAGATTTTTCAATTTTCTGCCTTAATACTTTATCAATCGAACACAAATTTTCAAATATGTACATGTATGTTATAGGTTCAGACATGTACCCGGTTTCGTTCCCCCTGAAGGCTGCCTAGATGGTAAGACTTCCCCTGGAAGACTAGTTATATAGTGAGACTTCTCCAGGGGAAAGTCTCATTATATAGTCAGTCTTCCCCCTTCATAGCGAAACTTTCCCCTTTAATTTAGTTTCCGAATATTTTTTTTTTATTGTAAAACAATGTTTTTATACTAACGTTTTCAGTGTTTGGATAAAAGTTATCCGTCCTATATGAATGAATAAATAAATAAATAAATAAATAATTAAAACATTTTAATAGTGTTTTTTATAATTAAAACTTCTTAACCATGCAGGTAAACATAGTAAACTGCACGTTTCTACGGGTAATGACCTCTTTACTGTTAAACTAATTATGTCTTTTTTCTTTTGATAAGAATCGTCTCGGAACAATACTATAATCTGCTGTGCACGATAAATTTTCAATGCGCACTTTTATATTGATTCATTTGAAACTATTCATCTTTTTTTATATATATATAAGATCATTACTAAATATGCAATATGTACATCGTCGATGTAAATAAAATCGAAACTGACCAAACACGGAAGGGGAAGTCCCACTACGGTGGCTTAGGGCGGAAGACTCACTATATAGTCATCCCCCCCCCAGAAGGGAAGTCTCACTATATAGCCAGACTTCCGGGGGGAAGACTCACTATGGGGTAAGTCTCACTATATATGACACCGGTAGCAAGGGGGCTGGGTGCTGGCCACCAAATATTTTTCTAGCCATAACTTTTTACTACTGAAAATGTTCAACGAAAGTCTGGTTGACACCCTCCCACTTTTTGTTGTAGTTTAGTCAAATAAGGGCCATGTACGTAGTGACGTATGAGTAAAATTTGGTACTGAAAGAAGTTGGACCCCCCCCCCCCCCAATAGAATTTTTGAGTTTGAAGAATTTTTCTCGTTTGTTTGTTTTGGTTTGTTTGTTTGTTTGTTTGTTGTTGTTTTTTTTGCTTGTCAAGATTTTTAGGTAAGTTATTTCTTTTTCTCTGGCTGCCGCTTTCAAAAACAATGCTACGTCTCTAAGTTTTATCTGTATTCGCTGTGAAAATTGCGAATATTTATATTCATGTATTTATATTTTGAAAATCTCAATATTTTAGATTATTTTTGGCGAATTTTGATTTCCAGTTTGCTAAGATGGGTAGGCAATATCAAGCCGACATTTTACATATTTTTTGCCAAATGAGACATTGACAAAATAATTTTTTGAGTTATTCTGATGTCAAACACTGTGCGCTTCATGGTTTGCGTGACTGAATTTACATTTGTAATAGAGATGATCATAATTATTTATTAAAGAAACTGTATCAATTTAAAAGAAAGAAGAACGAATTTACAAGAATAAAGCAACATAGAAGTAAAGACAAAATGAAGAATGAAAAAAGTTCAAAGTGAAATGTAATAAAGATGAATATGAAAACAATAAAGTGACATAAATTTACAATAATAACAAAGAATAAAGAAGTAGGCAGAATAAGAATAAAAGCAAGATAAATAGACTTTTGGCGGTAATTCCCTTCCATATAATAGGTCCTGAATGGGCTTCCTTAGTTGTATATGTTTAAGAAATGAATTTGATTTTTAAGAATCCATGAGGACATGAACTACGACGCTTTATGCCGACACATTTCATGAAGCGCTTTAGCGCTTCATTATAAATATGCAGAAGTGCAGCGTTATAGTTCATGTACCTTATGAATTCTGAAAAATTAAATTCATTTCTTGTATTTACTTTATTTTTCTGATGACTTGCCACATATTTTTGTCATTCAACGATCATTTTTTGAAGAAAAAAAAGTTTGCACTATTTTTTGACTTCAGTCACATCACAATGGAATTATTCCTACTCATCCCACGGTAGTTCATGAGAACGTGAACTTTTTCTAATTTGAAAAGAATCTTAAGGAAATTAATTGGAAATGTAAATATTTGATCTTTAACTTAGAAGCTGCTTCTTTTGCCACCTTACTGACACCATCGGTAATCATCACTTTATATCTGTGCAAAACTGTGTGTAATGCACGTCAGGAATTTGGTTTTCGGGCAAGAAGGTTATTTAAGGGTCTTGTCATAACACCAAGACATATGTCAATTTCACTGTATTAGGAAATATGGTATATAAGACATATTAGTGCCGATTAGGCAGAGGTTCAATTTGTTCAACAAACGATCGCGAGAATAACAAGTTCTGCATTAGCAATTTTGTCTGGTATATATATACATGTAGAGAGAGAGAGAGAGAGATGAAGAGAGAGAGAGATAGAGTAACCAACAAATTCTGATTTTTAATGATTATGTATTCTTATTTTACAGTCATGTAAAGATGCATTACTTACACGACTTGATGTTTACAGTAATCTATTTTTCGCACTCTCTGGCTTAACTTTTGCAGTTTTAGTAAGTTATTTTCATTTATATCTTGACTTATGTATAGAATTATCCAAAGAATCGTTTCGACATCCATTTGACCATAGTTTTTAATATTTCTTTCAAAATCCCTGTAATTTCACGATTTTCTGTCACCTGTGAAGTTGCAATTGACACATAGAACGCATGCAGTTGATAAGTAGGTTATAAACAATTTCATATTGGTGTTTGTCCTTAGATCGCAGAGGACACACAGTGCACTACAAAGTTAGAAGGTGAAATTAAAATGTAGGCTGGAGCTGAATATCTGTTTAACTAATGGTATTAATAGAGATATTCCTGTTTATACTAGAATGAGGAATTTAATATGATTACAATCCTTAAAGTATAAAGTAAAAAATGAGGAAAAATTATATTTTGACGCGTTATGATGAAACAACAAATTAAAAAATTTTATTACGTTATTTTTGTATTAAGATTTCATTTAAGAATGTTAACAATTGACTCTAATTAAAGAATGATTGTGATTTGTTAGTAAATAGCTAAATCTCATAAAGAGGGCAACGCATTACACCTCTAAAAAATAAATGTAATAAGCTTTTATTAGTATTCCAAGAAGGTCACTCAACTCAGCAATGCTTCTCATGTGCAAATGTGCATACATTTTATACTTCTAAGGTTTTAAGTTAAGTAAGTTAAGCTTGTTTTAAGCATTGTTTTTCTTTTTACAGACTTTCCAGTTTATTTTGATAATTTACAAGTTAAAGAAAGGGTATTTTATTCCAATCATCAATGACAAATACTTGAAGATGACAAAACTGTTGTGTAAAACGGAAAAGGGATATCGGTAATTTTAACATGTGTTTTGTTTTTATATTAGAAGATTTGATATTCACATATATTTTTTCAACTGGAATAAAAATACAATTTATTCTGTAAAACATTAATTGCAGGAAAATCTTTACTTTCGAAAAACGAATGATATTCACCATCGCAGCATTTGTGAGTATCTAATTAGCTCCATTTTTTCTACATCTAATTTCTTGAGTTAAACACCTAGAACAGGATGGGTTTTTTTTTAATAAAAGCCAATTAACACAAAGACTACCACTTTGTCTTGGATGCGTTAATTCTACAGAACTTTTTTTCCTAAAAATGCTTGCAATTTAATTGTAGAATTTTTTATAAGACCTATTTTATAATTTTTCTTTCAGTTGTCATCCTTAAGCATGTTAATACTAGGTATTGTCATGAAGCACGATGAGAAAATGACGGGGGGATATGTATACCACGTGTACAGATATCTTTACTTCAGAGGTGTTAATTTCTTGGACATTGTCAAGGATACGTATCTATCGTTAATCATCCTTGGAACCTTGTCGGCGACAATGGGCTTGCTTAAGCTAACAGACGTGTTTCGAGAATTACAGAACAAAAGAAAAAATTACGTGGTATGCCATTTTTAGACGTATAAACTACAAACTATTATTTATTATTGTTTGCAGAAAGACATTTTTTGTTTGGTTTTATATTTAGTATACTGGTGTTGTGACGATTTTAATCCTTACAAAACTGGTCTGCATTTCCTTGATGGCAACAGTTCGCATAGACGTGAGTATTGAATCAGCTGTTGTTGTTTTTTTTATTGTTTTGGCGCCAAATACTAATATTAGATCTTTCCCTTATAACTCTCCATAACTGTTAATGAGTTCAATGGGGTTCCATCTTTACGTGTGTAAAAATTTAAGGATTCAAATAAAATATATTTTAAAATCATGTCAAAATCTATATTTCTCATGTAAAGTATGTGTTTAAAGATGGGCACGGGACAAGGTCTTTGAAAAAAGAGTTGACAGACATAACCATTTAATACTTCTTAAAGACGTTTTTGATACTTTTAAAAATTTACATTAATTACTGTAGTCTTTGTCTGGTTCAAACATATAAAAAAGACCAAAGGAATATTGCATTTTAAAAAAAGTAATAATGTTTCTAAATACTTTATAAATATTCCATCAAGTCTCTGACCTGATTACTCAGACTGTATATTTCAACAAATTATTTTTTCTTATGGTATCGTTATTAAATTTTATATCACATGTCTATTTGTTTATTATATGGGTTAGGGGGATATTACCCGTCTTTTTTTTTTTTTTTTTTTTTTTTTTTAACGGACTTTGTTGTTATAAGTGTTTCTAATTTATTCAATTTCGCTGGCTTTTTTTTTAAATTCAAAGTTATATGTATTTCATTGGTAGATTGATGAAAATGCTTCCTATCAATTAACAAATATGGATCGGCAGTATCGAAATCAAAACACTTTGTATGACAGCATGATGTACAGCATCCTGAATCGTTTCTACAAAGTGGTAAGATTTATATTTGAAAATTTAGAAAAATATATTAGACTGAATTTAAAAAATAATCTTGCATTTAATTAGACATAATTAATCCCGTAAGTGTCTATTACTTGACTGTTTTCAGAGTTCAACCTCTTTAAAAGTGATTTAACTTGATTTTTAAGATTTATTTCATCCAAGCTTGTAGCATTTTTTGGTAAAAGGAAATGAAACCAATTTTATGGTTTACAAATGGTTTGGGTACAAAATCCAAAATGAATGCATTTTTAAAAAAAAAAACTTTGCCATGACTCTTGTCATTCCTTTTGGCAAATAGCTTACTTGCCAAAAGCCCTATACAATGTGTTCCGATTCTGGAATAGGGCATATTTGGTCACATATTGAAACTTGCTCACTCTGTCAGTGCGTCCCCTGATCCTGGTTTTAGGGATAAATTGCTCGTATATAATGAAAATGTAACACCTAACAGACAAGCAAATTCAGGTAACTTTACCGAACGCTCTACAGAGTATTTCTTCAATATTAGGGAATTCGTGTCCTTTGGATTCAGACACAGGCACGTAATATCGGGGGGAGGGGGGTGTTCCCCTTTTTGCAAAAACAGCTTTTAACTGTTCATTTAAAGGCTGGTTGCCCCCCCCCTTCTTGTTGCGGTATAGTTATATCCTTGTTGTTATGTGGCAACTTTTTAATAAAATTTTGTTGTTAAAAAATTGGAACCTACTCCCCCTCTTTTCTTGCTTGACAATTTTTTTTTCAAATTAGTTTTCAATTTTTTCTGCCCCCTTTTAAAAAAACGATACAACGTGCCTGTAAGAAAGGAATTGTCACTGTTAATCTGCTAAAAGAATATTGATACTTATTATAGGCTAAACTTCAGAGCGTTTCAATTATGGTCTGACTGAACGCTGATATTATTTGTTTTGATATCAAAGCGCACATTCAATGAAAAAAGTACATGAAATTTTTCATACCATTTAAAACGTGAACTCATATGATTATTCAACAGTTTGATTGCTGTGGTGCTGGGGGACCATATGAACTGGCAAACATGGCATCTACCAGTGGATACACAGGATATACAGGAGCCCAACCATATGCCTGTTGCTATGGAGATTCATATCTGGATTCTTCCGCTATGCTCCTTAGTGTCGTATGTGAAAAGAAGGTAATTTGAAAGTTTGTAAACTTTGCTACACTTTTAATTTGACAGAAATAGTTTTCCTTTTAATGTCACTTGAATCCGACTTATTGTTATTTTTATCTAACATGTCCATCTTTTTTTAAATTTGGACTTTTCCAAATTAATTTTTTTGTATAACTACAGCTAGACAAGAGAGAAATGAAGAATATAAAATACTTCGATAATTAATGAATCAAAAATTTAAAAAAAAAAAAATGTTCTTTTAAGACATTCCCGATGAAAGTTAAGGATTCCATGGGCGGATACAGGATTTGTGATTGGGGGGGGGGGGGCGTGGATAACTTTGTTCAGACAGGGGGTCTGGGGGGCTGCCTTAAGGCCCCCAGTGGGTTCAGGGCGAAGCCCTGGTGGGGGCCCAGGGGGGGGCGAAGCCCCCGGAAGCTCCTGGGTTTTCGTGTATTTTAAGAGTAAAACCAGGCACAATAATAGGGGTATTGGTTAGTTTATATGTACCAAAGTTTGGCATTATTAATACAAGTCATATCATACTTTGAATAGAGGGGGCCTAGGGGGCGAAGCCCCCGGAAGCTCCTGGGTTTTCGTGTATTTTAAGAGTAAAACCAGGCACAAAAATAACGGTATTGGTTTGTTATATACCAAAGTATGGCATTATTGATATTAGTCACATCATACTTTGAAAATTTTAGGGGGGGGGGGGCGTGCGCCCCCCACGCCCCCCCCCCCCTTAAATCCGCCAGTGGATTCAGAAAAGGAATCCAAAGTTTTATCTAGGGCTTAATATAATAGTCGTAATTGCTTGTAAACATTTTTACTAGTTTATTTTTAAGTTTATTGGTTTAAGAGCAAGGATGGCGCCATGTGTATTAAAAGAATATTTTTGTTTTGAAAAGTTTTATGCATTTATTATATATTTGTGATACTTGATATTCGGGGTAGATCTAGAGAATGGTCTTAGACTTTACTAGTATCTCAAAAAGTTGTTTTCAAAGATCACGAAACCTGCATGTTGTCGGATAAATGTGTAAAAAAAATTGTTGTTTCAACCATGTGCAATCGAGGTACGCATGACAGAAATGATACTACAATGTATATTGTTCTGACTATATTCATATATAGTAAATACATAGATGATTTTCAATGCTTTGTAGTTGGATATGGAATTTGTTTCACGGGTGGGACAGAATTTTTTGATATTTTCACGAGTGCGAAGCACAAGTGAAAATATGAAAAAAATCCTGTCTCACGAGTGAAATAAATTCCTTATCCAACTACAAAACATTGATTATTTTCTTTGATTTTTCCTTTGTCTTTTCTTAACACACTGTCACAGGCTGTGACGTCGTAGTTGAGCGGTTGAGACGTCATAGCTTAGTAATTGTGAGTTTGAAAACATTGTAACATGGATTTTAGCAACATATTTGGGAAGAAATTGGCAGTTTTAGTCTCTATCAAGACGGGTTACTTACTATCTCTTTCTTATGACAGACCAGAAATTATCTTTTACTTACTTTGCTTTCACACTGTGCGAAAATATCACTTTTATTCAATAAATAAATCAAAGTATTTCACGGTTGAAAATGTAATAAAAGTTTTGATTTCATCAAATCAAAAATGTTTTTCGATGCAGTATCATGTTGAGATTGGAAGATCAGGGGTTTATTTATTAAGGTGAGGTAAAAAAGGATATGTTTTCATAGAAATATTCAGAGGGAAAATGATATAAAGAGTAGTAGTTAAGTCACAAATTGCAAGAGTTCTGCTGAAGTGTGGTGTTGATGAACTTCTGGTAAATCATAAGCAAGTGATGAATGGGATAGAGGTTAAACAAACTGATAGATAAAGAAAGATATAATAATGCTTGTCAATAGTGAAAAGGAGTTGCAGCATGTTATTAAGTTCCACATTACAATTTAATTATGAAGTTTCGGAGTAAGGAGTTGATCTTTACGTCGCGGGTTGGAATCCCACTGTGGGAAGTGTAGACCGGTCCTTCGGATAAGACCGTATACACCGAGGTCCCGTGTCGCAGTAGGTGCTGGCACGAAAGAGAACCCTCACTGCACAATGGCCCTAAGTGCCGAGTATATGTCTAAAAATTTGCGCCCTCCACCGGCAAGTGGTGGCGTCTCAATATGAATAAAAATTTCTCGAAAAGGACGTTAGACAACAAACTAATAATGAAGACTAAATTCAAATTTTAATTTTTTTTAATTTATTAATGTTATTTTGAATCGTATCACTAGTGAGCGTTATTTTGAAGAAATATCTGGTAATATTGATAGCAAATGTATTTACTCTATTCCTCTTTCTATTCTTTAGGCTTGTTCAACAGAGTTTTTAAGTACAGTTGATCTCTACAGTAATGGATTTATAGCAGTCGTGTCTCTGACGACAATCTTTGAGGTAATTTTAAGTTGCCTAATGATGAATGCTACTTATGTTGTAATTTGAATTTGCAAAAGACATTCAGCATATTATAAAACAATATCAACCCTTGTAGAAGTTACTTATTATTCTTAAACTGATCAGTAATCAATATTTCTTTATATGTTACAGATTATTTGCATTGTCATAGAGCTTCGTGATACCGTAAGATTAAAAAAGACGAAACAGTTTGGTGTATTGAGAAATGTCAAGAATTTTTTTTTAGGGTAAGCGATTTCAATAAAAGCAAAGCTAAAGATAAGTCACAAACTAGGACTTTGCAAGCAACCATACACGTATGACATCCTTCACTAGGAATCAAAAGAAGAATGACGATTCAAAAATATTGGGATGTTCTACTTTAGTCTTTTAAAGTATCAGAACATGCAATACAACAGTCGAGAACTTCCTTTCAAAAATGAATTACTACTGAAGCAATCATATGAATATCCCTCAGTATTAACCTTTTATTTTACATTTAACGAACTATAATCAGACAAAAAGATTTTTTGATTTATCTCTGCAGCAGAGATTAAACAATCCATCAATATTAATAACTAAAAAATAATTGAGCATATAAGGACTGACCTGAACAGAAACATGCGAAACAAATAAGTTACTGTCCTTAATTTTTAAACTCTGTGTAAATCATGTTAAAGGTAGGGAAACCCAGTAGTGCAAACCAAAAATAAATAAAAAAAAAATAAAAAAACGAAATTATTAAATAAAGAAAACGAAATTATTAGATAAAGAAAACGAAATTATTAGATAAAAAACAAACAAAATTATTAAATAAAGAAAACGAAATTATTAAATGAAAAACTGAAACTAAAATACGGAATTTATAGATGCGCATGCCACACCAGCCGCAACAGCAAATACAAACGCATCCATTTCCCCGCAAAATATAAGAAAATCGCGGCTTGATCCCAGAACGGTATTGACGATTACAATGTCACTACTCTTTTTGAAGTTATCATTTATGATAAAGAACTTATTATGGTCTTCAATTTCTTCATCAAACTATCTGTGCTAGCAAGAAGGTTCGGATATTCAAGACGCATATGCCCCCTTTTACACGTGTACATAGCTAACTTTTTGAATATTGAAATTAACAACCAAACAATCGCCTGTTTACAGATACTTAATATATTTTGATGAATATTTATTCCGAACTAAAATTTTGTATTTTTCTTCGAACTGCTTATCTATAAGTGTTCTTTTTTTTTCTTTTAAATTTTTTGCTTAGATACGATGGTCATAAAAAGAAAATAACCACAGGGATAGTGCTATCCGTTGTTATCATTGTAAGTTTTTGTCTTTGCATGTGATTTTAGCTATTGAATACTGTCAGGATTCTCATCCTGTTTGTTTGTTTTGTTTTGTTTTTTTTAGTTTAAAAGATAATATGACACTGCCAAATTATTTATGAGTTAATCAGATGCGAAATACCATTTTATAAATTTTTGTAAAGATAAAGTTAAAGCATAAAAATGTTGCTAAAATCTTTGTCTCAAAACTTAGCTTAACTCCTTTGGACTGGTTGCTGAAAGCTTCATTCTTCGCCATGACTCCGTGTTCTCCCATAAACAGATAGACCTCATCTTCGGTAGCATCTCAATGATAAACCTATCCTTCAGTAGGAATCTCATCATCTGGAGGTGGTTATTGATTACTTCTGCAATACTTCTAGTGTTAGGGGGATTTTACACAATGATGTCAATTCAACGAGGATCAAAATTCCTGCATCTGACCGTATGTCCTCTCTTGTGTTAGTTCTGGAAAAAAAATTGTCTCCCATTGTTCATTCCTGTTTCATTAAATAATTCTTTGAATTTTTGTTATATAGGCGCTTGTTTTTCACAGTTTCTGTTTATGTACCATAATAGCTGTGACTGGATGGTGGATTGCAGTCCATAAATCTGTAGGGAGAAAACTACTTATTTATAATCTTCATGCAAGATTTAACTTGCAGATTGAATCCCAAAATACGTGAAAATAAATATAAATTGAAATATCGTAAATATATTAATACATGAATAATAAATTTTCACCGAAAAAATTGTGGAGATTTTATATATATATTTCAAATGGACAAATTGTGAAAATTCAAATATTTTAAATGCTCTTCTATTCCATTTCAGGGTCTTTCAGATTACATTTTTCCAACACATTTTACTTCGTACTTGAATTCTGCTTACAGTTGGTCGATTGATGGTGCTTGGAATAATCTGTTCAATACTGTAAGTTTTAAGGTCAACTGTGACACTCAGTTGACCTATTTCCCCCTGTTTTTTGCTTGTCGCCGGTCGAAAGTTTTGAAATTTTTATCTTTTTCTCATATACCGTTAAATCAATTCTTAGCCATTTTTTAATATAAAATTTATGTTAAAGGGGAACATAATTTGTGAATTTCATGATCTCCATCTCCCTGAGGCCTGGCCTGGAGGGTGGGACTAAAACCATGAAAAGTAATGCCATTTCAAAAAATCATCAAGCAGTCAAACTGTTGGTATGAATATGGTAAGCATTAAGCCCTTTACCAAAATCGGGAATTTCATGTTCTCATGTAGGGTTCTGGTGTAAGGGTGGAGCTCTATTGACCAGATACTGAAAATGAATAAATATTTCTTAAAAATATCTCTGTCCTGGATACTAGGCAGACAAAATGCATGGTTATGATGAGTAAGATTGTATCTTCAGAATTTATAAAATTCATGGCCCCTGGGTCATAAACTTTGGCGAATGGGCAGGGCTGTTTTGAACAAATAGTAAAATAACACTATATATTTTGATTTGTACCAATAATAGAAGATAAAGAGTTGGAAATGTAAAATGAAATACATGTACAACTGTATACTCTGACTACACTTGTGTAATGCTTGTTCCGTTCTGGGGGAAAAACTACATTTCTTGTTTTGAGTGAAAAAAAAGTTTATACTTTCGTAAATTATAAAAAGAAGAGATCAAAACTGGAAAAAAATACAAAACAGCAGATTTATGTAGAAGAGTACATGTGTAGTACCGGGGGAATCGCTTGGGCTAAATGCTAATCCAGAACAAAATACTCGTACAAAATATGTCAAACGATATATCACATGTTTTCAGCTCAGAATCTATGTTTGTTTAGGTTTTGGAAGTCAGGGATCTCGCCCATTAAAATATCGTAGTTTTTTGTAAGCAAGTGTCTGATTTGTCATCATAGTTTTGACCGAGCTTTTTCTTATAAATATTGCTGTTAACAGAAAAAACAGTTGCATAAGTTAATTTAATACATATTCTATGTACATATAAAATATATCTATCAATTTTATTTGCTTTATTAATTATCAAATTGTAATTTTTATTTTTTTTTTATACGGTTAGTAGTAATGAATTGAAATGAAATTGCTTTCAGTGAATGTATCCGTTAAATGTCACTGATACATTTCAAAAATTATGTAATTGTAGCTTGAGTGTTGTGGATATAGAACCGGATCAGAATTCGATTTCTATTATACCTATAAGCAAGTTGGTACTTCTGGGTTTTCCCAAATGTCCCTTTTCTGCTGTCATTCGAACCCATTGACAAAATCCTATAACTACAATAGCAATTGTTACCCATCACAATATAGAGAGGTGAGTGAAATTGAAAAGTAAAGTGTGATATAAATGAATATATAATAGAGATATTCTTATGATGATTGAATAGAATCGATGATTATAAATATTTGAATTCTATGACATCATCTTTTTAGCCGTGCTATGATAAGCTCTCGGAAAGACTTCTTCGTTATAGCATCGGATTTTACGTCATGATGTCAGTGTGCCTTATAATGGAGGTAATTTTATATTTCGTTTCTTGTTTCATAAAGTTTTTAAAAACTGAAACCTGTGTTGATATAAACTTACTTATTACAGATAGTCCTAATCATTATACTAGGGGTCCTGATTAAGAATGATGAACCTTTCAGAGCTGATAAAGTATTGCTAAAAATAAAAAGTGTTTATTCAAAAAGGTAGGCATTTTAATTTTTTTTTCTGTTTTTCTTGCATCAATATTTGTGAAAAAAAATGTTTCTAGTTGAATTGAGATTTCATTATTATATTAGCCAAAGGAAGAAAAACAAACGAACAGATACAAAGGACACTGTAAACAAGCAAGATGAAAGCGAAAGTATTACGTTGAGTAAGGAAAATTCTCCAGATTCAAAGAAAAGGAAGGTTAAGATCGCGGACAACAAGATAGAACCTATGTCCACTGATCCTGAGAATATAAGAAATGTCTCAAATGATACCACTAATAAAGCTCCAAACAATATCGCACCATCGTCTTCTGACTCTCGAAGTCAGAAAGATGACTCAAAACATACAAGCCATATTCCTGTCAACTCTTCAAACGACGACGACACTCTGAATCTAACAAAAGAGGAGTCATCTCTCGGCAATGAATTGCCGACACAGCCAGACAGGGATGAGAACCATGGTGTTAATACAGAAGAAACAGAAAGGGATGCAGCAGCTATAGATGATCGAACTTTGAATAAAGACAATCTCGAACTGAGTAGACAGAATGAGGACGATGTAAATAACCTACAGATAGATAATAATGATGTAAATGACTGACATGCTGTAGCGGATATGTTTCTACTGAAATCTACTGTAAAAGACAAGAATAAGGATCTGAAAATATGATGTTTGTTTTATGCAATCCAAGCAATGTGGAAATTCTCCTACTAACTTACCAACTTTACATATGTAAAGTTACTCTGGACATGTGATGATGAACTTCTGTTTTGTCATAACACAAGTCACTGTTTTGTCGTGT